ATATGTTATTCACATATGAATAACATATAAAATTGTATATTTGTTTTGTGTTTTAATAATCATATACTGATTAAGGTGCGAAAACATATTCATATGTGAATATAACGTGGTAATTTAGTTTATGCATTTCATCAAACAGTTGGAGTGCATACAAGTAAGTTTTTTTAAAAATGCTAAAAACATGATACGTTGACTATTTAAAACTTACAAAATAGTAGATTTATAGAGAATTATATGAAATTTTTCAAAAAAAAATGATTTGACGTTTGTCTAACCTTAATTTAGAAGTTTTGTTTGATGATCGATGTTGAATGAATGATATGAAGTGAAATTGTTGTTGATTATCGATGATGTTGATCTAATGACACTGGGAGTATAATTAATCGTAGATGTTGAAGATATGCTCGAATTCAAGCATAATTGAAGGTTGGATTGAAAGAACCAAAAACGATTTTTTTTGTCTACTGTTGAATGATGTTGATGAACGTGTTTTTGACGAAGATGGATGATTGATTAACACTGGATGATGTTGATCGAGGATTTAATTGAAGAAATCTGGATGATCGTTGAAGGTTGGAGAAGAAATTTGGATGATGAACGATCGAGTAGTAATGAATTTGAATTGTTATCAAATTATCCACAATTATGTATCTATGATTGAAGGATATCATATCATATTTACAATTTTGTCACCATGTTTTTATGTTAAGATGCTAATTAAATGATTGGCTGAGAATGATTCCCCAATTCTCAATCTTTTTTTTTCTCAATTGAACCCTCCTATATATATATATATATATATAATATATATATATATATATATATATATATATATATTATATATATATATATATATTATATAATGAATAGTTGATAACTTTTTAAAAAGAAGAATTATTTAGTTGATAACCACAAAAGCCGAAGGCAAGTGAATGGAGATTCTAGAACGAAAAGTTGTATACTTTATGCAATTTCATTAATTGGTATTGCAAATGACGGTAGATGCCATGCCGCAGCAATACGTTAATTAATTATGTTGATGATGGATTACGCGTTCCACGGCACGTGCCCTCATGTGTTTTCTTCATGTGAACGGATATTGGTTTTTTTTTCTCCAAGCCAACCGTCAATCTGCTCCATCCTTTGCCACGTGGTTCAATGACAACTCAGCGTCTACATTGTTTTTTTTAATTACTAGAAAAGATGTATGTCCTTATTCCATGGAAAATAAGAATGATTCCTTTCAAGAAAGTGATGAAAAAAATATAAATAATTAAATAAATTAATTTTTTAAAAATAAAATATTTTGAGTTTTACGACTTTGCAAAAATTTATATTACTTTTACGAGAGACGTTTTTGAGGAGGTGCACAGTGTATGATCGCATATGGCCTTGATACCCTATAGAGTTTGATATTATTTTAGCTAAATAATTTCAAATTACTCATTAATTTATGGCTCCTTTCAATGTTTTGTTATACTGTGGCTGATTATCTGTAAATGAACAAATTTTTGTCATAATTACTAATCTAATTGGTGACGATCAATTAGGTGTCGAATCTTATCTTAATATTAATTAATTTTGTTTATATAAAAAAAATATTTATGGGCTTCATTTTTCACTTTACGATTTACACAGTATTTTATTTGATTTTTTTTTTTCAAAATCAACTGACCAATGCTAGCCTTTATCTATGATAACCTTTTCAAAAGAAAATTTTTCCTAACCATTAACCTTTTCAAAAGATTTTTTTTAAAATTAAAAAAAATTATTTCCATATGTTTTTTTTATAACTTATCAATTTTCAAGTATACATTATATTTACGAAAAATAATATAGTGTACATTAATAGTTAAATAAACAAATAAACTACTTTTTTCGTTTAATGATATTAATTTTCATAAAATAGATTAATTTTTATTTTGTATAGTTAATAAATATAATTATCCAAAACTAATAAAGATTCCATATAGTTATATATCCATGGTGTAAAATAAAATTTTAATAAATTTAAGGGATTAAAATGTAAAAACTTTGTGAGCAAAATTAAGAGGATGGAGTATCAAAAAGCATCTCCAATGGTTAACCTATTCTATCATTTAATATGTTTGTTTTTTTTTTTTTGAAACGGCAAATATATATATATTAAAAGAAACACCTCACATCAAGACGATGCAAGGAGGAAGTACAAAACAAAATAGGAAAGGAGAAAAAAAACAAGAGAAAAAAAGTTACAAAGAGAGAAATGGACCAAGATTCCAAACTCTCCAATCCATGTTTTTAAATGAACCTCTATGTTTACACCATACGAAAGTTATTGATTTTATCTTCTTCACTGTCTTCGCCGGTACGATAGGGATGTTTTTGAAAACCGTATGGTTCCTGTCATTCCATATACACCATAATCCGCCATATAAGATCATGTTCAACATGCTTCTTTTCTTTTTGCATTTAGACCACCGAGATATGAATAGTAACATGTCTTTGACCGAATCAAATCCATCATGTGAAATTTCACACCAAGATAAGATCGAGTTCATGACAACCTTCACCACTGGGCATAAGAGAAGGATGTGATCGCTCGTCTCTTCATCCAAGTTGCAAGACCCACAAATGGTCGATGGCACTGGAACACCCCTTAATTTTAACGAAACATATGATGGAATTCTGCCAAGCTTTGCTCTCCAGATAAAGCATAAGATCTTATTCGGTATTACTCGGCACCATTCAAATGGACCGTCGCAGACAATGTGACTCGCCATTTCAATCCGTTCACGTAACAATCTTACCGAGAAATAGTTATCAACCACAAAGTCAGAAGCCCAACAATCGTCATTTGGTTTCCAATATACAATTTCTTTGGAATCAATGTTGAAATTTTTTAACGCGGTTCTAATTTTGACTATATTTTTCCATACCCCTGATCTAGATCTGTTGGCAAAAGAAGCACGATATCTTCCATCCAGGTCGTGAATACAACGAATAACTTTCGCCCAAAGTGTCGTGTGTTCGTTTTTCAACCGCTGCATCCATTTAGCTACTAGAGAAATGTTGAGACTTTTAATCGATCTGATCCCTGTACCACCCACCTTTTTTGGGGAAATAATTGTTTCCCATGCCACCCAACAGATGCTTTTCTTTTCCAGGTTGTTGCTCCATATGAATCTCCTCCTAATTTTCTCAAGGGTCTCAATAATACCGTTTGGAACGGTAAAGATGGACATATAGTAGGTTGGGAAGCTGCCAAGAACCGCTTTTGCTAGGGTTAATCTGTCTCCGAAGCTAAGTATTTTTGCTTTCCACAATGAGAGTTTGGAATGAAACTTTTCGACAATTGGTCTCCAAGCATTCTTTCGGTTCATGTTTTCGCCGACAGGGATACCCAGGTAAGTGAATGGCAGGGATGATGGTTCGCATCAAAGAGGAGCCGACCAGTTCGAGACTTCGCTAGGAGATACCCCAACACCGAATACTCTGGACTTTGCTAAAGTTCACTTCAGCCCGGATGAAACATAAAAGCATCTTAAGATTCTCGCTAAGTTGGCAATGTTGCGTCTCGACCATTCACCAATGAATAAAGCGTTGTCTGCATAAAATAAATGAGACAAACTGATGTTAGAGATAGGGAATTTTACTCCGTCAAAGACTCCTTTCTCAACCGCAGTTTTCATCGCCACATTCAGCCCTTCCATCGTGATGATGAATAAGAAGGGAGACAGCGGGTCGCCCTGTCTCACTCCTTTTGTCATTGAGAATTCATTCGTTGGGCAGCCATTAATAATCACCGATGCTCGACCCGATTCCAGACAGTTACGAATCCAATATCTCCATTTATTTCCAAAACCCATCTGATTCATAATTTAGTCCAGATATACCCAATTCACTGAGTCAAAAGCTTTGTTAAAATCTGCTTTAAAAAGAAGCATCTTTCTTCCTTTTGATTTTGCCCACGAACAAAGCTCATTAACCACCAAAGGACCTTCAAGTATATTTCTTCCCTCAACATACGCGGACTGGACATCGTCAATTACACCACCAATGACATTCTTTAATCGAAGTGCCAACAGTTTTGCAATGATCTTGTATATGGAACCAATTAGGCTGATTGGTCTAAAGTCTCCAAAATGAAGTGGATATTTCGTCTTGGCGGCTAAGGATATAAAAGAAGAATTACATCCTCTAGTGATCTTACCCCCCCCCCCCACTTCAAAGTATTTAATCATCCCCATAATGTCGCCTTTTAGTAACTCCCAGATTTTTTTGAGGAATTTGAAAGTGAATCCATCAGGTCCCAGAGACTTGTCACCACCACACAGCCATATTGCATTTTTTTACTTCGTCCATGGAGAATTCTCTCTCTAAGTACCAGGTATCTTCTTCACAAAGCTTACGAAAACCCTCACTTCGAAAAACCGGTCTGACTCACCAACATTCTCTGTATTTCTTTTCAAAGAATCTAGTAGCCTCCTGCTTTATCTTGATTGGGTCGGTCGTCCATGCTCCATTCGTCATAATCCCATGTATGTGATTTTTTCGGTTTCTGTTGTTTACATAACCATGAAAAAAACGTGTGTTTTCATCTCCCTCGACCTCCCATTTAATTTTTGCTCTTTGCTTCAAGTCCAGAGCAATAGCTCTTGCATGCTCCGCAATTTTAATACCTCCAATTGACCTTTCTTCCCTTTTTGCGGACGTTAGGACTCTAGATTCCGTTTCCTTTTCGATCCCAGTCATTCTCTTTTTCAAAGAATCAATCACCTTGTTTTCATCGTTCACTGCATTAATTCTCCAACACCTGATGGCTTTTTTTAAATGTTTCAATTTATTCAAGAGGTATGCATAAGGATTTCTAAACCCCACGAATTCGGAACATGCTTTCTTGATCACCTCTTCAAATTCCTCTTTCAACATCCAAGAGTTATAAAGTTTGAATGATGGTGGACCAAAATCCTCACCACAAGTCCTCAAAACAATTGGAGAGTGATCAGAGAGATCCCTGTCTAATGCCTCACATGACGCAAGGGGAAACGTGGTTGAGAAACAATTTTACATACCAAAATTCTATCTAATTTACTCAATTTCGCGCCTTGCGTTTGGACGAAGGTGAATCTTTGGCCTCCCATATTCAGATCTGTGAGTTCACCCCTGTATATGAATTGATTAAAGGCACTTGCACTGTCTGAGCAAAAGACTGAATATATACGTTCTTCCTGTCTTCGAACCACAGTAAAGTCTCCCATAAGGATCCAAGTAGCTGATATGGAGGATTTCAAAGATAACAATTTGTCCCATAATTTCGACTTCTCATGAATTGATTGGGGCCCGTAGATGTTTATAATGCCAGTAAGGCCATTAATGCCCACCAAATTACCCAGTGTCAAAATAAAGTATATGGATTTGAAAGTCTCTATTAGCGTAAATGCTCCTTTATCCCATATCGACACCAAGCCACAGGATCTTCCTATTGTAAAAACCTGCTCGAACCCCCAATTATTATCGCCCCAACATTCGGTAATATTTAGAGGAGGGGATGACTCACCCAGCTTGGATTCTTGAATACAGATCATACAAAGTTTATATAAATTTCTAAGCCTGTGTACCCAGTCTACCTTATGTTTCTCTCCAAGACCTCTGATGTTTAAGGTCATAATATTCATTGTATGATTTGGTTCTCACCGTTTTCGCCCAAGACTTCTTTTAGGATTGGATTGTCGCCATCAATCTCAAATCCCAAAATATTGCCCACTTCCACCGTATTCCTAATTTCCGACGAAGATGATGGAGAGTCCACTTTGATGTCTGGAAGAGGAATCTGAGAGGGAATCGGAGTTCTGTTTAGATCAAGATATGGAAGAGGCATAACAGGGTCCGAAGAATCAAAATCGACTTCCCTGTCATTTCTCATTAATCTTCTTCTTTTATCTTGGGCACTGTTGAAATTAATCTCAGGCTCATCTGATTGCGAACCATTACCATACACGTTGTTTGGGAAAGGTCCAAAGCAGCCAGACTTGGCTAATTTGTTGAGCAACCCATTAGGGGATTCATCCAGCCCATCCCCATTAATTGTTTCCTCACACACAGTTAAATTATTTTCCAAGTCGGCGTGAGATGATTCATTAATGTTTTCCATACTTCTAAGGGTTTCGTCTTCCTGTTGATTATTAATTCCATCGGCTGACTGTAGACATTCCCCAAGAGCGCCTCTTTCAATTCTCCGATAATCATTGTCTATTGAAAAGTTTTCTGGTACCTAAACTGCCGTCGGTGAGCTGTCGTTGGCTGCCCTGAGGTTTTCTCGATTCAATTTCTCGACCTGGTCAACGTCCATCGTTCCGATTTCTCCTTCTTCCAGTTATAATTAAATGAGTCCTCCAATGATTAAGCTTTTTCAATAGCTTTTTTATAAATTGAACTTATTGATCCTCCTATAGCTAAAATATTCATAAGACCTTCTCATTTAATTAGTAGTCTTTAAACATATTATACTTTAATATGAAATATTTTAAATTAAGGTTATCATTAGAAACTAGAATATAGACATTTAATAAATGAAAACTTATGATAGAAATAATTAAATAGTTAAATAAATGAAAAAATATTTAAAACTAGAATATAATTAAGAGGGTAAAAATAAAATATGTTAAAAGTAGAAGAAGTTAGATGTTTAAAGCTTTATATTATATTGACCACTCAATATAAAATGGTGTTAAATGAAAATAAGTGATGAATCAATTAGAAAAAGCTCTAAAATAAGTCCTCATTTAAGATGCTCTAAATAGTTGAGTAATCTTAGAAAAAAGACTCTACATTGCAAACTTAAACAAACACTTAACCTGTTTTTGGAAGATTAAACTAATTATTTGTTGATAAGTCATCTCACAAAATAAAAGCTTTTGGTAAAAACTATGATGTGGATATCAATGTAAAATAATCAAAGTTAGCTTGTTATGGTATTGTCATAGCACATTATGGCTTCAAAACTTGTATTCGTCGAAACAATTTAATAAAATGCCACCTTATGTCATATACGTATATAAAAATGAATTATAGTAGAATATATATATATATATATATATATATATATATATATGACATAAGGTGGCATTTTATTAAATTGTTTCGACGAATACAAGTTTTGAAGCCATAATATATATATATATATATATATATATATATATATATATATATATATATATATATATATATATATATATATATATATATATATATATATATATACAAAATTGTCGCCTTAAGTCACGCCTTACAAATAACATAGCTCATCATGGCTCGTAAAAACTTGAGGTTTGACATTGTCGTCAAGTCACGCCTTAATGTTATTTATAACTTTGAAAATGACGTAAACTACATTAAGATATATCTTAATGATTAAAAATAGTTGAAAACTAAATTTGGTCAACAAACTATAATTAAAAATAACTAATTTATAAAAATTTATTTTTAAGCGTGTGTATATATATATATATATATATATATATATATATATATATATATATATATATATATATATATATATAAAAGTCAAATGAGATCACTAATTGTTTTAGAATTAATAGAATCATGTTTTGAACCTTTATTTTAGATCTTATCTTATGTCAAAAAAAATCTAAAAATATGTAAATTCATCATTTTTCAACCTCTTTTCGTTTGGACATTCGAAAAAAAGAAAAATTCTTCGAAAAATGTGTATCATATGCATATTTTTTTAAAAATTATTTTCAACGAATCACCTTTTATATTAACATCTTAAACAATTAAGATAATTTTTTTATTAAAAAAAATCTAGAAAAAGTTAAAAAA